TTCTGAGTGAAATGTACCTATATACGTTAATTGGATGATTTGAAATCGCCCATTGTGGATGGGTCTAGCATATTTCATTACCTAGATATAGATTTTGTATGAATTTGTATTTGGCCAAAACTCAACAACTACTCTGTATAGAAATTTCAAATTTGACAAAAATTTTCCTCAACATTGTAAAAATAATACCATAGAAACAATAAATAAAATCCAGGTTTGGCCTAACAAAATTTGGCAATTTCTTTCCCCCTCAAAAACAACATCCTCTATCTAAAATATTACAAAAATGCGGAAAACATTGATTTAAATTGGGGTGTTTTCGAATATGCCATTTTTTAGAGGTCCTAATTTTTTGTTAAAAATTAGTTTCTTAGAATTTAAAAATAATGTATTCTTCTTCATGGCAGAATACGCCATGAGGTGAAGTCAAAGTTAAAATTGAAATGATTTGTAAATTCTGCCCGCGTGATAGCCCCAATTTCGACGGGAAGATGCTGTGGATCAATTACCTGAAACAGTTCGAAACAGTTGCGAGCAAACGATTGGTCTGAAAGAGAAAAGGCAGTAAATTTGACCATCGCCCTTCGAGGAGACGCTTTAGATGTCCTTCAGACTATACCCGTGGAAAGAGACAGATTATTTTGAACGACTTAAAAAAAGATTAACAGGTGATATGGCCACGAACACTTGGAGCAGGTGTACCGATTACAGTTAAAGAATCACAAACAGAAACGTGACGAGAGCCTTCAAGAATACGAATTAGATATTGCGAAGATGGTGCGATTTGCTTACCCATCAGCTCCGGAATATATGATTGACTATTTGGAAGCATTTGTTGATAGACTTCGTGATCATGAAATGCATAGAACACTCCGTCTAGCGCTTCACAAAACATTGGTCGGGTCGATATCTTGAATATGAAGCTGGAGGATACAGTGAAGGACTGTAAAAGAGGAAAACCATGGAAATAACTTCGACCAATTGTTTAACATGTAAAAACTCCTTATTGAGAAGCACCAAAGACGGTGTTGAAATTGCGTTGAAATGTGAAACGTAAGCAGTTCGCGTAAACGATATAGGAACACTACGATTTAAAAAACCAGTTGCACAGAAAGGAACGGTGCTACCTGATATATGTGAAACCATAATGGTAACGGGACTTCAAGGAACTAAAGAAAAGAACGCCTGTCATGGTGGAACCTTTGAAGCGCAATGAAGGGGTTGCTCGAGGAACTCCGATTGGAAAAGGGTTGGCTACATCTGCTAAAGAAGTTGCAGTACAAAGAACAACGACTGTCAACGACGAGTGGGCCCCTACTAAAATTAGAGAATAACAAGAGAACGATCTCGTTTTAAGGCAGATGGGACAATGGATAGAGGAAAATCGTCGAGAATTATCGAAACTCTCTTCAGTATAAGTCGTATTGGACTCAGTGAGACTTTTTAATTCTGAAAGACGGCTTATTAAAGCGAGTACTAAATAATGATAGTTCCGTAACCGAAAACAGTTGGTCATTCTAAAGACATTTCATCAGGAGGACATCTCGGTGTTAAGAAAACCCTTCAGAAAGTTTGTAAAAGGTTTTATTGGATGAACAGTTCCGATGATGTGAAGGATTGTTGCAAGAAATGTCCCACCTGCGCTATAAGTAATGGACCACAACGAAAAAGGAAGGCAGTACAACGTCGATACCCATTTGAGAGAATTGCCTTTGATATTGCTGGATCATTCCCTATGACCGAGGTTGGTAATAAATACATGATGGCGGTTATGGATTATTTCACAAAGTGGTTGGAAGTGTACGCCATGCAAAATTAACAGGCCGCAACCGTTGACGTGTTGATAAAATAACTTATCAGTCGATTTGGAGTTTCCTTAAAGGTCCGTAGTGACCAAGGCAGAAATGTTGAAAGTCAGCTCTTCCGATGAATCTGTAACATATTAGGCATGCAGAAAACCAGAACTACGGTATTGCATCCACAATCAGATGAAATGGTAGTTTCCAACCATCAGTAATATTGTGATCAGTATCTTTAACTCTTCTCAATGGCATATAGATCTGCTGTTAATGAATTGTCAGGCCAAATACCAGCAAAAGTCCTGTTTGGGCGTGAGATGAGACTACCGTTCGACCTCGAGTTTGGATGTCGACCTGGGGACGACATAGCTGGTGTAGATTATGTGATCCAGCTACGAACGATATGCATGAGTTTTCTCGCATCTGCAAATCGCCAGAGACAGGAGAATGAAGAAATGGTACGATACCCCAGCCACAGAAGGATGTTTCAAGGAAGGTGACAAAGTCTGGCTCCATAACCCAAAAAAAAGAAAGGTTATTTTACAAAGCTCCAATGGTCTGGGAAGGCCCGTACCTCATCAAGAAAAAAATTAACGATGTCATATAAATAAGATCCCCAACGCAAACCAAAGTTAGTGCACCAAAACCGGCTGGCGCAATTTGAAGGTGACCCAAATTTCAAGATGTACTGCGTTACCTTTTCTATTTGGTAACAAAAAATATCTTCCGGGATTGATCCACTTATCATGATGTATGGAAAGCATTACTTACAGAAAGTAGCCATGACAAAGCTAGAGGATTATTAGAAATATGGTGGAAGTAATCTTCCAAGGTACCGAGATCCAAATACTGGTCTGCAGCCATTCGCCTAGTATCTAAGTTTCAGCAAAAACCGTCCCTTGTTATTTTCATGAAAATGGAAATTGTAAAAAAGGGCCCAGTTCTAGATACAACCATTCAGTTTTAGTTCCAGGAGGAACTATCTCTTAAGGAGGAGGCAGTGTCATGCGATCGCATGAGGCCGACCCTGTTCTTTGTCTACTTTCACTGCTATTACGCCTGCTCTGGCCCACTGGCGATCGACTAGAATTGACTTGAATGTTTCTTTGTACGCAGCCCAACGCTTGAATATAATATTAAAATACATGTATAAAAAAGATAGTAAAACAAATTATAGAATCATTAAAAATAAAAACCTAATTATTAAAAATATAGCTAAACTTAAGTGTTTTTTCTCACTTTTAATTCTGAGAATTTTTAGATATTTTTTTTAACATCAGTCTCTTCAGCGAGCTCATGTTCTTCAATGGCTAATGTTGGGATGAAAAAAATTGTTATGAATTTTAATTTGGAGAAATTTCTTTCTAGACTTGCCACAGTTATTGGGAGAGTAAGCAAGATTCTTAACACTTAACCGAAATTTGGAGCAAAATTCAGCTTTAAAATAAATGTTGCCAAAACCGATACTATCTCGTCTGCCAGGTCCAGTGCGTTTATATCCGATCAATACATTTAGTCGTTTTGAGGGGTATCTTTTAAATGATAAATATTGTATAAAAACTGGAAATAGTTGTTATGGGTACTGATCAAATCAAGCCTGGATTAAAGTACATTAATAGTTTGGTCTAATGTGAAAAAATAAAACTTATATTTCAAAGTAGGATCTTCTCTCCCATCATTTCGAACCTCATAGGCAAAATTAACACTTCTTTTTCGAACTCTATGACGTGCCTGAGTAAGCTTAAAATTAGCCGGTATGTCAATTTCGTCGACGAGTTCTTGAGCATCACAAAGCATTTCATTAAAGGCCGTGTCCGATCTAAGATCCTTGAAAAATCTTTAAAAATTTTCAAGAGTTGCATATAAGATGGTAAGTCATATTCTTTTGTATGCAAGTGCTTACTTATTGTATTCATACAATGGAGCATAAGAACTTAAATTGTTTAACAAAACTTAATAGTTCTTATAGAGTTGGAGGAAATAATTCAAATTTCTCAAATATTACCATGTTTAAAAATGAATATTATGAAAGTCCGTGTCACAGCAAAGTCGAGCGACCGTTTCCCTCCTGAAAACAACTACTCCCTCGGATAATACCATTATAATGATTTTCTATATCTGCTTTTTTTTCTCTTGATATAATGCAATGCATGTTCTATTCATCTTTCAAAATGTGTTTTTATTTAAAAAACAACGTACCTCCACCTTCTTATATCGTTCTCATAACACAAAAGCTCGTCAATAGTACCTAAACGAAAATTAAAAAAAGAAAATCGGTTTATAAACAAAAGAGAAAATGGTACTTAACCATTTTATATTTGCCTATTTATATGTAGATACGCAAAATTTGTATATACATGATGTTGTTTTGAGGCGTTAATAAATTACAAAATTTTGTCAAGCTAGACGGGATTTTAATTATGGTTTCTGTAGGTATTGCTAAATCGAGGTAACAGACTTATTCCACTTAATCTGGTAAGAAATTGAATTGAAATGGCTCTGTTGTTATTTGCCAATTCGGTCAAATATGTCAGAAGTAGTTTTGGGGTTACTGCTGAAATTAATAATTTTACTCTTAGGTAGTTATGATGACATCAGTGTGTTCACGTGAGATAAGTGCGAGTACTGTTGAAGACTCGTTATTTAATTTTATTTATTTCTCAATGGCTATCATGAAAATATGAACACTAAAATGTTTATTAAATGTTTGAAAGAGAGACTATGGTTAAACAAAGACCCTTTTATTATATTAGATTTAGGAGTCTATTCTGTAACAATTCCTTTATATTTAACGGCCTTTAAAAATATTGGCGGCCTTTAAAAATATGTTCGTATTCGTTAATTTACTTCGTCATTATTTAAACAGATTTCTTTAAGATAGTCCTCTAATGTATTTTAAAGATCCGTTTAAATAATGACAAGTAAAGAAGAAAATATTTTTAAAGGCCGTTAAATATAAAGGAATTGTTACAGAATAGACCCCATAGACAACTAAAAATCGTCTCACTAACGTGATGAAACAACTAGTATAATACAACCACTTTATAAACATTATTGGTATTCACCCATTGATTTTTAGTGTCATAATGAAAATCCCATTTTAAATGATTTATTTGTTAATACACTGTTTTATAAAACGCAAATTCTAAGACATATTTTAGCGCTAAATATCTTACACGGTCTTTTTTTCGTCTCTTGCAGTAGGTATAATATCCTTACATAAACACAGAGATATTGAGGAAAAACTTCACACACAGAGTTTCGACGACGACGAGGACTGTAACATCGAAGAAATCCAAAAAGGACAATGGAAGAGGATCGTCCTGTTGGTGGTCGCCATCACCGTGCACAACATTCCCGAAGGACTAGCGGTTGGCGTCGGTTTCGCGGCCACCGGTACCGGCACTGCTTCTACGCTCGAAAAAGCTAGGTGAGTTACTTATTTGTTATTTTAGACCAAACGGACCTTTTTTTATGTGTTTAGGGCTCCGTCAAATATTTCGCTTTTCAAAAAGGTTCTGTCGCCAAAAAAGTTTGAGAACCACTGCCCTAATGTATTTCTAAATTAATTTTTCCACAATGTATACAGTGAGTGCTTCCCAAAAGTAGCCCCTTCGTATATTTTGAACTTTTATGCTAATACTAATAAAATTTGCAGGGGGAGGGTGAAAATAAACTGTGTAAGCGTCTCTACTAGTGGTAACAGATGACGTAATTGTCATATAGAGACCCCACAGAACCGCTGTGACCAATGATTTTATATGGGATCTTATTGTTTGAAGGTATTTAAAATACCTATTCAGTCATACTTATTTGGTTCAGATAAACTAAATGAAAAATCCCTAATTCTCCCTACGAAATTATGAAAATTATACGATCATATCCCCAAGGTGAAAACAAAACAAAAAAAAAAAGAAAAATCTGAGATTTAAAGAAAGAAAAAATAGTATCTGTTCCAATTGTGCTCTATCTACTTCCTAATAGTAAAACATTTTGAGTCATTTTCATTGAGGAAAAAAGTACTTTTGTCACTATAACAAATTGTTTTTACATAGTTTGGCCAATTTTATTGTCACAGAATTCCACTCTTCTTTCGGGATCGTCATCTGAAAGTTGATTTGCCATTTTTAATTTGTATGGGTGAACTTTTTGGTCAACACTCTTTGTACTTTACTTTGACTGACTTTACAGGGAAACGAAACTTGGGCTGTAGAAGAAGTATGGTTTACCTATCACCACTTCTGCAACTAAATTTATTGTTTCTCATTATTAATTTTTGATTGACCAGATCGTTTGGTGTCATGGACACTACCTGTTGTTTGAAATTTAAGACTTTTACTAGGTAACTGTTGTCTCTATATTTTAAAATCATATTTAAAGCATTTTTTACACTAATAAAATTGTATTTAAGATCTATAAGGTTCGTATCATAAACTTCACACCCTCGTGAGTAACAGCCAACACATTATGTTCGTTAAATGTTATCCACGATTTGTTGGTGATATTTGTTGGTGATATTTGTTGGTGAAATTAATATATAATTTACGAAACGAACCGTTAGAGGTCGAATTTCTTTTAAAAATATACACTAATTGAATAATTATAGTAGCGCAACTGTACACGTTCTAAAAGTTTATTTTACCCTCAAGTTAAAATATTAAAATATAGTAATTGAATTTACCAAATCAATACATAACGAGCCATCGAGAACGATCATAATTGGAGTTTGCTGCTAAATTTAAATGTTTTGGGTTGGTACTTTAGCCACTTTCACAGAATGACATTTTAACATTAAAATTGAAACTGAACGTATGTGTAAAATTTTTCAAAACTTTAATTATTATTTAAATTAAATTTGAAAAATTGTTTTCAACACAAAGCAAAAATTATTGAATGTTAGGTACTTCCGTACAGGTGTGAAAGTAAATGTCTAGTTGCAGTATTCATTATCAGAATGCATGGCTGATTGTCTTGAAGAGTATCCTGAATAATTGTTTGACTACAATTGTTTTTACAATGGTTTGACAAATTTTGTACAGTTATTCAGAGAGATTGCTAGCGAAGGTCAAAGAACTGGAAGTGGACGGCCGTCTAAACATACAGCCGAAAATATTAAAGCCGTTCGGGATATTATTAATGAAAATACAGAAACATCGATTTCAGTAGTGACGCTACAAACAAATTTGTTTTCCAACTTATTCTAAAAAGAGACTTACGAGTACACTGTTATCCATACAATGTTTGCATGCGTATTTTCCAGTAGATTAGCCAAGATGAGTGGAATTTTGTCAAAATAATCTAAACAATAAAAACTGTGGTACGGATAGTACCACATTTTTTTTTCTCGGATTCCTTGGTTTTATCTTTCTGGATATGTTAATTGACAGAATATGAGGAGGGGAGTCAACGGAAAATCTTCATTTTTTTGTTGAAGAACCTCTGGATCCCCAAAAAATTGGTGTTTGGGATGGAATATGTCGAAGAAGATTGGTAGGTATCATCTTTTTTCTTTAAAGGCACTCTATGATATCGCATTCAAATACTCGGCCCAATCATACATCAATTGGATGATGAGGAATTACCAAATGGGTATTTCCAACAAGATGGTGCAACATCAGATACGATCAGAGAAACACTAACATCCCATATCCAACTAGATCTTGCGATTTAAACATAATATGCGGTTTTTTTTGTATGGCCATACATCAATCATTTTTATTTTAGTTTTTCACGTAAAAACATATAATCGAATATTTTCAGCGTCCAGCACCTCTATCTTTATCTTTATATAGGGTAGTGAAAAAATCTGACAACAAGGTATTTTCTTGGAAACGAATTAATGTATAATTATGAAATTGTAGGATATGAATGGGATTATATTCGGCATTTTATAGAGTACATGTACATGTCAAATTTTTGTTACGTTAGCCGCGGTTAGCGTACCGCCACCATCTTGATTTTTTTTTTAAATGGCAACGTAGGTCGAGTGGTACCTATATAAGAAAAAATCTTGTTTTCCTCTTTTCAAGAATACTAAAAAAGTACCACATTACTAATGCAATACTACACAAAAACACCTTTTTGTAGCCTTTTTCGCTATCCTTTATACAGGGTGTCCTTTAAAATGTGTCCCAAAATTCTCAGGCAGATTCCTTAACCAAAAAATGGAAAAAAAGTTCCTATAGACCTATGTCCTAAAGTGCCCCCTAAGCGAGCAACAGCCTCTCGAAATCATTTTTTTTATTTTGATTTTTTGAATTTTCTTAAAAATGGAAACAAATAAAAGAACCAAATTTTGGCTGTTAAATATGATCAATAATAGTGACCTTTTGACACCTTCAAAAAGAAATTATTTCGTCAGGGGTGTACTTGGGAATTTTTTGAAAATTTTGATTATTCATAACTTTTTTGTGTTTTTGGTAATGACTTATCCATATTTTTTTTTACATTCTACATTGAAAACTACGTCAAAAAGGAATACTTGTTTGATCTCGATTGGAGCAGCCGTTTCCGAGAAAACATCATCCAAAGATATTCGTCCACTTTAGCTTAATTTTCAATTTTCCTAAATTACCTCGGTGAATCTCGTAAATAAAAATAACTTTTTTAGCTCTCTCTAAATAATTGTAGTTCAAATGTCGTGGTGGGACTATTTTTATTTAATAATAAGAAACGGTTTAAAAAAATATTTATTCTAAAAAAACAAATAAAAAAAAATTAAAGCAGATGCTCAATGTGGCGACCATTGGTTTCCACACACAAGCGCAACCGTCGCATCATAGACTGTCTTACACGAAAAAATACTTCAGGATTATTCCTAAGAACTTCGCAATGATGAAAAACTCGTTCTTCCAATTCTTCAACTGTTTCAACAGGACTGGAATAAACCAATGATTTTAAATAACCCCAAACAAAAAAATCCATTGGATTTAGATCTGGTGAACGAGGTGGCCAGTTAACAGGACAACCTCTGCCAATTACTCTACCCTCAAATCTTTCGTTAAGGTGCTGTCTAGCTTCAAGGCTGTAATGTGGTGGAGCTCCATCATGCATAAACCACATGTTATGTCTGATTTGAATCGGAATATTATCAAGAAGCTCATGTAAGTTATTTTCCAAAAAAAGCCTGTATGCTGCTCCATTTAACCTATTCGGCAAAACAAATGGTCCAATAAGGTAATTATCAATAACTCCAGCCCAGACGTTTATTGAAAATTTATCCTGGTGGTGACGTTCAACAACCGCGTGAGGGTTATCTTCAGCCCATTCATGCATATTTCGAAAATTTATTATACCATCTCTAGTGAAACCAGCTTCATCGGTAAATAGCACTTTATTAAGAAACATTGCATCTTGATTACATCTTCCAAGAAACCATTCAGAAAAGATAACTCGCGGCTCATAATCAGTAGCTTTAAGTGCCTGAATTTTTTTGAATGTGGTAAGGGTACAATTGTTGTTCACGCAAAACTTTCCATACCGTGTTACGTCCGACTCCCACTTCTGAAATTAAATGAGAGAATCTGTGTAGTGAATAGTTAAGAAAGAGAATCCATTGATTTGGGAAATCAGATTTTTTCTGCATAACGCAACTCTTTTCGATACGAAAAGTCGTGAAATGTAAGAGAAGCAATAACAAGTAAAAAAACTAGTTTTATACGATAAGGTACGGGGTAGCTAAAATAATAAATAAGTAATTACTTACTATTTGCTATTTTTCTGGTACTTGTCGATGGGGTTTCAGCTACCCTATCCAAAATTGCTTCTTCCAAAGCAGGAGTTCTCACATAATTTTGTCTTCCACTGTTACTAGAGTTTTTCTTAAATGTACCAGTTTCCCGAAGTCTATCGTCAATTCTAGAAAACGTCTTAGCGCATGGAAGATGCCTATTTGGAAAGCGCTCCTGATAAAGTCTGCGAGCTTCATTGGCATTTCCAGAAGCGAGTCCAAAACATAAGTGCATGTCCGTCATTTCGCCGAATGTGTAATCATTATTGTAGTTATTGTGAGCCATTTTAAACAAAATAATAACAATACAACGAATCGCACCAGAACACTTTTAGAAATAATGTTTAACTGAAGAAACATTTTTATCAGTGAGCGAAAAAAATTATCCATGAAACACAAAAACGCCAAAAAAATACATATTTTTACTTTTTTATTCTAAACAGCTAAATACAAACCTTATGGTCTTCATAATAAATAAATGGGAACTAAATTTTTAAATTTTATTTAGAGAGCTAAAAATAGTATACAGGGTGATTGATTAGTGTGAGGAAGCTCTGTAGATCTGTTATAATAAAAGTAGGCAGCTTTAAGCTTCACATTTTAAAATTAGTTACGATGTGACAGGGTGTTTCATAAGGCCGTGCCAAATCAAAGTTATGTTTTTTAAATGGAACACCCTGTATATTTTTATATTTTTAGAA